TAAAGAATATTTTATCATGTTACCCCAACGTCGCCCCCCTCCCACCTAGGAATACTCGATTATGTTAAAAGAAAAATTGCACGATTTGCCCTCGGCACCAATACTGCCCCTCCTGCCCTTATCTTTTGCAGGCGTCCCTGCTTGTAGCTCCTCTGTGCTACAGTTTCGTCATTAACGCTTGATGCGTCTTCTTTCGCACAGAAATCGTTATATTTCGTTACTAAAGTGTAACTAATTGTAAGCAAACGTATTGCTGAGACGAACGAAACCAGCCTAAGAAAATAACAACGATGCGATGATTGAATTTTGGCGCTCTTTAGTCAACTGCGCGTGTGCAGAGCCAACAATGTTGGCTAAAGTGGTCAAACGATCCAACATTTCACTTAATACTTCAAAACAATACAATTGTTGGACGTCGGCAGCCAATAATTTTTACCTTAGTCAAATTTTGTCCAACATCGAAATTTACGATGTTGGGTGACCCAACAAGGTGGTCAAACGATCCAGCACTTCGCCTAACACCATGTTGGGCGAAATGTTTGGTGAATTTTGGATCGTTTGACCAGGGCTTTACTCTCAGTGTTCGGTGCACGACCATCGTGAGTGCAATCTACTTAGGTGACTGTTCGACTGAGAGAAGTGTTTTCCAGTGCCCTGTTAGCACATTAGGCCATATCTTGTTGGTTATCATCTCTGTCTTAGGAGTTCCATTTCCAAGTCGATTAATTTTACTGGAAATATGAATTGAAAGTGATATTACATCTGTAAAAGAGATTCTGTTTCTTGGAATTGATCATAGGTGTCAAGATGAGGCTCGAAATCTGTTTTCTATTCAAGATTTAAGATTCACTATTGTCTATCTATCAATCTGTTCTCGCTTGATCATTTTGGGAGACTTTTTTGCAAAATCTTGATCTCTCAACCCAACAGCAATAGGTGGTAGTGCGAAATTAAGAGGGCTGACTTTGATCAAAAGCGAGGTGTTCAGAATACCATACCTGCCTTTTTCAGGGCAAAACCAACGTCATTTTAAGATCTTCCAAAAAATTCAAATAAGAATTTTTAACTGCTTTGTGCCAGTAACTCGGGCATTACAGTCAGGTTGATACAGCCCGTTAAGATCTTTGAGAAGGTTTGTAAAAACGTAACATAATTTCCGCTCAACAACCTTTCTTTGTATCTGGGTTCTTTGTCGGTGCTCTCTGCCTTCTACCTTTGTACCACAACAATGAGTTTTTTAGCGCTTTCTAGTTGCATGCCTGGCTTTTTAACATTTTTGTATTATAGATTTTTTGCGAACGAGCTGCTGATAGTAAAGTTGATGATACACATAATCTGCCGCTAATGAATCTGTAGTCGCAGCTGCTACTCTCAGCTGTTTCGCAGCACAGGAAAGAAGAGTACTTTCTGAATTGCCTCGTTTAATCATAACTGCTTGTTGGGTTGTATAGAATATCCAAACGGACATCATGATTGCCATGGAATTTTTAATAAATTTGGTAGAAAATGATTTAATCCATTTTGGCAAAGTTAAGTTGATAATATCGATCTTGTACTGGATGTCCCGACATTCCTTATTCTGTGAAATTACACTAAACAACCTTCCATTGATACTTGGAACATGGAAGATGATACAAGGAAAATCTTTTTTCTGAAGGAGCAGAGATGGATTCAATTAGGACAATGCAGTATGATAACTAGGCTAAATCAGCTGATAACGCATCAGTTGGTTAAACCACTTTACCAAAAGTTACATTATCAAAGGTCACATTATCAAAAGTCATTGTGCCATCTTAAATATAGATAATTTTCTTTGATTTTCTCAATGCAGAAAAATTTAAAATCCAGTATTGTGCATAAGGAAAAGAAGCCCACTTGTATGATGACGTCATCATAACGTCACGGTAAAATTAGAGAGATTGTCTCTTGGGTACATTTCTGAGAGCGTACCAGCATAGATGAAAAAAGCTTAGATGATGATTAGAAATCTGTCCATGTAGGATAGTTCTTTACGTCTAGATTATTCACTATCGTGTTAATGTCCAGGTAATGGATGGGTTGCCCTTTTTAAAAATCGTACAATTGAAGTTTAGCTCTGACTCGAGACTCTTTTCATTTTATGCCGTTTCGACTGCTTGAAGAAAGAATATCACTTATCAATGGTAAAAAGAACAACGCCGGTCAACGATAGGCGAATTTTCAGTTCTCTTGAATGCTTACTACTTCATTGGCTAATTTTTCTTTGAATTGGTTCAAAAGGATAGTTAACATTTTTATTTCAACCAAAAATTGTCGTATTTACATTCATTTAGAAGCTATACGGTGACTTGCATTCGGTTTAGTGGAATGTTGTCAAGAATCCTAGAGACATTAAGCTTCTTTTGCGACGTTAAACATTTTGCTAGGGTATGTGCTGTCTGTCGTGATGCTTGTTATGTCATGTTCATTTAAAGCAGAATCCTTTTCCTCAGAATAAAGTTGGATACTTGATCTTTATGATTTCAGGTTTCTTTAATAAGAGAGCCATGATTTAAGCTAAGTATCTTAAACAATTGTGAGCCAATTCTTTCCCGAGACAGTCAGATTATGGAGCAGTTTAACCTTTTCATTCTCTTATCATTACGTCCGAATTCACGCAAACTGCGATAGCAAAAAATTGTTTTTTAAAGCATCGTTAAGCTTATGCTATTAACCAACGTTTTCAACAGTCGATTTGCAAAGGTCTTACTGTGTAATTTGTCTGTCAACAAAGTATTTAAAAAGCTTAGGTTTGCCCAAGATTGCTATTTTTCGTTTGCCTTAAATCCTTTGCTCACCAATTCGATGACCCCACAAACCTTTCGCTCATAATCACAAAAACATTATCTCTTTGACGCCTGTTGCAACTTTGACTTTCTGGGGCAATCTCTTTTGCCGTGGCTCGTCTTACTCTACCAGAAGCATTTTTGTCTGCAAAATAAACGTTTACTCCAAACCGCTGGTAGGACATTTTGTGTGGCATTTTGGTAAAGCTATTGCTACAAAAGTTGCAAATTGATACGTCGAAGAAAATGAAAATTCACATCTGAAATAACTATCTGAAATAATATGCACTTTGTAATGTATCGGTGGAAGCAAAATCAAACTGCATAATTCATCTTTACAAGCCTGTTTTATGACTCTTTAGGAGATTTTTTCTTGAGATATTTATATTAGAAACATGATGAAGAAGTTTACGGCGGAACGTCAAACCAGTTGTATTTCATTGAGCATCTATTTAACGTCTTAAAACACAATTGAGCATCTATTTAACAATAACTATTAACTTAAGCTTGCGACTATACTGCTTATAAAAGAGTATAGACCCGTGCCTATAAAAAGAAATAAGTGAACTTCAAGCTAACATAAAATATTATTTGCCACTGGAAACAAGCAGGATACACATTTAGCTTATATCCCTACCTCAAAGTAAGCTGAACCTCAGTTTCATTAAAGTTCTCGACCTTGATAACGTTGTCGTGGCAATAAAAAAGAGTTCCACTTTTGCCACAATGATATCAAGAAAATGATAGTCCCCTTCTCACTTCATTCTAAAATATTCACAAGTCATTTTTGACTCAAATTGCAATCGTCGTCTGCAAAGAGACAGTCGAGCTAGAAGAATATAGCATATAAGCTACTTATATTTCGTCCGCTTTCTCTCTGTACCCTTTGACTAAAATTGCTGGTGTGCCCAACGAGTCAATGATAATGTTTGCGTGCACCTATAGATTTAAAGAGGGCACTTTTTAGAAAAGGGACGTTTTTCCGGAAGTCAGGGGGTCACATGCCACTGATGACAACGTGACTAATAACTGGAAATGAGACT